GGTCACCTGGCCCAGCGCGTCCGCAGGGAGCCGGCCGCGATTCCCCACGGCCACGATTCCCCACGGCCGCAATTCCCCATGGCCGTGATTCCCCACGGCCGCAATTCCCCACGGCCGCAATTCCCCACGGCCGCAATTCCCCATGGCCATAATTCCCTCTGTCCACAATTCCCTCCCCGTTGCTGGCAATTCCGCCCCTGCCCTCATTGGCGCCTCCCGCCAGGCAGCAGCCACCGACCTAGATTTTCTCTTTTGGCACCGTTTTCTGCAGCCCATGGTGGTTTTTCGCCCGATCTGATCTTTTAGGCAGAGAGATCAAGGGACCTTGTGTTACGGGTTTCTGCTGCGCAAAGAGCCTCAGTGCAATTAATTTGCTATAAAAACCTTTTCTCCGGCAACGCGATGGCTCCGGTCTTTCTTCTTGCTCTGCACGCGCACATAAAAAGGAGAGATAAGAGGAACGGGGCACCTCCCGTTGCGCTGTGCTCTCCTCCTGATCAGAGAGCCGAGTTTTAATGAGCTCTTTTACACAGAACAAGTGTTTCTGGATACGTTTGAAACAGCCAAGGGCACAGGGAGGTGGGAAGCGGCTCCCCAGGAGGCCACAGGGCCACGGAGCCCGGCCGCAGCCGGGATCACGGGAGGGCTTTATCCAACCTTTCTCCTTTGCCTCCGACGCGGGCGCACAGCGGAGGAGCAGCCCAGCGCGGGCAGCAGGCTGGGCAGGGCGCTGCGGCAGGCGATCTTCCCCGGCGGCCATGGCAGCGCCGGCGAGCGCCCGGCCGACGGGCTGCACCACAGAGGTAGGCGAGAGCGCGGAGCAGTTTGGTGACTCCCGTTTTCCCCGGGGTGACAAACGGGAGGGAGCAGCAGGGCTGTCCCGGCTCCGGTGCGGCCCAGGCAGCAGCTTGTTTGCTGGGCTTGGAGGCAAGGCTGAGATCCCGAGGGGTGCTGAGGAAGGACGAGTCCTGGTGTCCCTGCTGTCCATCTGGGTGTCCTCACCATGGCTCCAAATGTCCTGATGGGGGGCCCTGTGTCCCTGCCACAGCTCCAGGTGTCCCTGCTATGGGTCCAGGTGTCCTACTGTGAATCCAAGAGTCCCTGACATGGGTCCAGGTGTCCCTGTTGCGAATGCAAGTGTCCCTGCTGAGGGTCCAGGTGTCCTGCTGTGGATCCCAGTGTCCCCACTGTGAGTCCATGTATCCCTCATGCAGATCCAGGTTTCTCAGCTGTAGGTCTGGGTTTCCCTGACGTGGATCCGGATGTCCCCCTCGCTGTGGTGCCAGCTTTGTCCCCAGCTCTCATTGGGCTCCCTAGGACTCACAGTGCCGCAGCCAGCCTTGCCTCGTCACCCTTGGTTTTCCAGATTCCCCTTCAGTAAAACCCCTTGTGCCCTGCCCAGAGCCTGTGTTCACCTGACCCGTCCACGCACCTCCCGCGGCCTCTGCGCCCTCCCTGAGCCATTCCCCACCTCACCGCAAAGCAGCTCCTGGGGCTCCCTTACACTGGGCTTTGTCTTTTCTTTTCTTTTCTTTTCTTTTCTTTTCTTTTCTTTTCTTTTCTTTTCTTTTCTTTTCTTTTCTTTTCTTTTCTTTTCTTTTCTTTTCTTTTCTTTTCTTTTCTTTTCTTTTCTTTTCTTTTCTTTTCTTTTCTTTTCTTTTCTTTTCTTTTCTTTTCTTTTCTTTTCTTTTTCCTCTGTTCCTTTAGGTGAAAAAGTGATCAAGAAGAAGATTCATATTCCCAAAATCGTTATCACGGGGCCGCTGGAGGACTCCACGTCGCTGCGGTCGGCAGACGACCTCCCGCTGACACAGACCATCCGCGACATCAGCGACTCGGGCCCCTACGAGGTGCACCGGCAGGCCAGCACGGCGGC